TCTGCTCCCCACTCTGTCTCTGGTGAAGCCTCTCACCGCCCCTGAGCCTCTGGCCTGTACCCCAGTTCTGTATGAACAAATAAATAAATCTTTAAAAAAAAAAAAAAGGATATTGATACAAAATGCAATATTCAAAGATATCAGATGTACTGAGGTCTTTAGTGTCAAATACAACTTAACCCACCCATCATCTAACCATTCATTCTTCATTCACCAAGTGCTTATTCAGTTTCTACCTCTGCCAGACACTGTCAGGCACTAGGAATACATGATACTTACCCTTTATATTTACTCACAGCCTAAAAGCAAGAAAAAAACCATCCATCAAATATTCACACAGGGCCCTCCCCGGTGGCGCAACAGGTTAAAGCACAGCACTATGAAGCTGTCCACAGCTACGCAGCATACGTTCAATTCCCAGCCAGGAAGGTGACCCACATGGCATGGCAGACCTCTCCTGTCTCACCGGCTGCTCCCCTCAGCAGTGTACTTCAGTCAATCCTCCTGTGCTGCTCCCCCTTCTGTCTCTAGTGAATCCTCTCACCCCCCTGCATCTCTGGCCTACACCCCAGTTCTGTATGCATAAAAAAAAAATCTTTAAAAAAAAATTCATACAAATAAATGTAAAATTGTACCCATGTTGATGTGCAAACAGAAAGGGCTTTCAGGCTAAACTGATCCTAGCTCTGAAATAAACTTGCCCTAGGCAAGCAACTCAGTACCTCTGAGACTTATTTATAAGTCAAGAATATTGCTACAACTCATAAATGTTATGAAAACCAAATAAAATACCATAAAGAATCTAAGGTAGTATGGGACACATTAACAGGTATTCTGTCCAAATAACCATTCTTTCAACATCATTTTTTTACAAATTGGTAAACTACTCAATGCTTTTAATAGAAAACCACCACTGTCAAAGCGTGAAGTAGCCTTACCTCTGAGCTTGGGCTGAAATAGCTCTTGTAGTGGTTCCTGTGACTTCAAGGGAGGAACAAGTGTTTGATGGAACAGACTGTCCCACCAGATTTTCTTTTTCTGCTTCTTTGTAACAAGTGTTGTCAACTGTGGGAGAGCTCAAACTAGTCAGTACTCAAATTCCAAGGAATTGAAATGGAGATGAGACACATAAACACGGCTTAGTACAGAATATTAATGAAAATTAACACACACCTACAGAGTAAGCCTGAGAAATATGATTATTTTATTTTCCTCCTAATTAGTAGACCCTTTGGTTCCACTGAAGTCTTATACAGAAGAATAACTTATAATGGCTACTTAGGTTGAAGCAGAAATGAAATAAGCAGGGTCCTACCCATTTGCCAGCCTAAGTCATCCTCTCAGGAAAAAGCACCCCAAACACATCCTCATGACACTTCAGAACATTAATAAAGATAATTCTGAAAGCTTCCACAGAGAAAAAGAAGTCACCTAACAAGCAAATAAAATAGGGTAAGCACTGAATTCTTCCTCAGCAATACAAGATGATAAAAGACAGAGGAACAGTGCTAACAGAATAATCAAAAAACTTTCTTCAAGGTACAATTCTATGTTAAGTGAAACTTTTCAACTGTCTATGAAATTAGAAAAATGTATTTTCTGACATGGGAGAATTCAAAGTTCTGTTATTGCATAGCTAATCTTAGGAAGTTCCCTGAGGATGTACTACTGCAAAATAAAGCACAAATGAAATATGAAAAAAATCTAAGATCCAGAAAACAAGGCAGTAAAGATATTAGGATAGTATTATCCCAAAAAGCAGTTATAGTTTCAACGGTAGTGATGAAAAAAACAGTTAATATACTTAGTGCAAAGGCCTGAAAATGTCACCTCTGAAGATCAAGAATAGGAGAAGTCATCTGCTACCTTCTCTCCTATCCAGCTTATGCTGTTTTAAGTCTAACCAGTCCAATACACAAGAGAAGGAAATTCAAGGTTACAAGACATATTGTAGATGTTAAGATCACCTATGTAGAAACCTGACTGAACCTACAAAAAAAAATTACTAAAACTTGTAAGTGACTTTAAGGATGCAGGACAAAAGATCAACATAATTTCATTTCAATGTACTAGCAATACAATACAAAACTAAAATTAAAATAGATGCAAGGAAAGTGCTTTGAGAATACAAATAAATCAGTGACAAAAAAATGGACCTTGGAGCTGGACCTTAAATGTTGAGTAGGAACTTTTCAGCTAGATGAAGAGGATTCTACATGCAGGGCACAGCACTGACAGGGAGTTTATATAAGGAACAAGACTCTGAGGGGCCTTCAGGACCTGCATGTGAGCAATGTGCACAGCCATGTGAAGGGCCCAGAAGTCTTTTACTTTGGGGCTTACTGTTGGCTTAAATGGAAAGTGGCCCACACAAACTAGGTAAATATTATATTCCCTTTCAATTCAAGAGCACAAAGGCCATCACAACGTCAAAAAAGCTGCCACACTTAGTCAATTAATGAAATTTATCTGAGACTTGATAGCACTCAAGGTCACAGGCATTCCAGGCATGTCAAGAGAAAACTATAGCACAATTCTAATCCCACATGCAAGAAAGATGGATGCAAAAGTTTAGGGTCTTTATCCAGACCCCAAATTCTAGATATCATCTATCCCCATGAATTAATCACTTAAAAGTCAGACTAGCAGGTCATATTTAGTAAGTCAGACATGTTCACAGAAAATACAGCTATTTCCTGATATGATCCCTCTGGTTAGTGATGCAATTAAGGCCAATTTCAGATTCACCCATTCCAATAATTTCCAAGTTTTCAAATGTGGTGATGGTTGCACAACTACTCTAGGATATACTAAAAATACTGAAATGTACACTTCAAGTAGATGAATTATATGATCCGTGAATAGTAGCTAAATATAGCTACTATTTAAAAAAATCATTTTTAAAATGCTCCTTTTGTTCTGACCTATATTCTGCGGATTTAGTAACCGCCAGTTTAAATATCCATCATCTTTAAAAATCAGATACATGGCTCAAAGAATTCTTGTACAATGGCAAACTGAACATTCTTCCTTCCTGCTGTTTTGTTTCCTAGTCAGACCCAGGTTAGATTATATTAAACCTTACTATAAAAAGAAAATAAAATCTGGCAATAGAATTCCGTATTAGCTTAAGTTCCAAAAGATGAAAAATTTAAAAAGTAAAGCACACCATTAGTTTCCCATTCACCATGAAATAAATTAGCTCATTTCACCAAAAATAAACCAAGCAATATGACATTTAGGTAATTTCTTCAGACCCCTGAGACTCCTAATACACTCTTCCACCATTCTGCCAAGGGGCTTTTTTTCAAAGATGTTCTTTCTTACCTGGTCTCAAAGGTGTGGCAATAGCTTGCTGAAGGTTAGCTTTTCTCAAAGGAGTTTTGCCCTGAAAAAGCCCTCCTGTCCCATTCTTCCCAGGAAACTGATTCTCCAAATTGGCTTTCTCCTCTGTGAAAAAAATATGATCATCATCAACTAAACAATTAGCAAGAAAGCAAAATAAATCAGCACCATGTACTTAATTAAAACAGAGCCTAAATCCCCTGACTTATGCAGATATAACTCATTTGACAAAGTTTTGGTGATCAAAAGGAAATAAATACCCACTATGCATCAGAGATAAAGACTGTAAAAACTATCACTGAAACAATGGCAACTCTGAACAATGCATCACAGAGGAGAAGTACAGACTGTGCATTGTGAATAGCTCCTTATCTTGGCTTATACACATTTAGGCCTACACAAGCATAAACTGGCCTTACCCACCCCTAAATATATCATGTTCCCTTAAAGAACACGGCAGCCACCAAAATTCACAGGGTACACAAGGGATATCTTTCAGTACACTTGAGCAGAAGTTTTTCCTCATCAAGGGTTGTAGAGGGGGGTGTAGAATGTGTGAGAACAGAACAGAGGTAGGCTCTCACTAGAAATTTTACCATAGGTTTTGTGCACCTGAAAAGGCAATGCAAAGAGGTGAAAGATTTGTTTTACCAATAGCCTAACCACAGAAACTTCAGGAATGAAGTAAGGTCCAGCAATAACAACCTATGAATGTACACTTGATGGTAGCTGTAAAATGTGATTACATGGAAGAAAATTAGAAGGTAACATATTAGAACTCAGGTAGACTTGAAAAAACAGTGGGACTGTTTTCTTCGAAATTATATCTGTGTTGTATTTCTAATATTTCCTTTATGTGTTTTTAAAAAAAAAAAAAAAAACTTGGGAAAAGAGAGACAATCAAGCCACTTCTTCAGTGTCAGTGGTTTGAGAGCATTAATGAAAAGCTCCAGAGGGTGCTGGCCCGTTTATCTATCCTGCCTCCAACAGCCCTTCTCTCAGGATCTCTATGACACCCGTAAGTCCTTTTCTAAGAGAATGGCATATGCCACCATATTTGGAGGCTACGTGTCAGATAAGTGAAGCTGCAATGGGCTTGTTTTTGCCCCCCCCCCATCAATTTCTCTTAATAAAGAGCATTAAGGACACTGGAAAGAATAAATAGTGGGGCCCTAGCAACTACTAGCCTAACATGTCACTGGGACCACATTTTAAAGTAATATAAAAACATAACCACATCCAGAAAAAGAAACTCTCCTGCACTGCTGGCGGGAATGCAAACTTGTACAACCACTATGAAAAACTACTTGGAGATTCCTCAAACTGTTAAACATGGAGCTTCCCTACGACCCAATAATCCCACTCCTACGTATCTACCCAAAAGACACAAAAACACTGAGTCAAAAAGATACCTGCAACCCCATGTTTACTGCTGCTTTATTCACAATTGGAAAGACATGGAAACAGCCCAAATGCCCAAAAATGGATGACTGGATTAAAAAGATGTGGTACACAGACACAATGGAATATTACTCAACAACCAAAAAAAAGAAACATGTCATTTGCAGCAACATGGATGGAACTGGAAAAGATCATGCTTAGTGAAATAAGTCAGAAAGAAAAGGAAAAATACCAATGGTTTCTCTCATAGCAGGAATATAATGGAACAGGCGAGAAAATAATGATAATGATTAACAGCTATATACCACTGAGATGTGGGGGTGGAGAGGAGAATGGGATCAAAAACAGCGGGGGGAGGGAAATGCACTGGACTATGGTGATGGCACATGCAGGATTTGGCGATGGGAAACCCAAGGGGATTGCAACTGAGATGGAAAAATGCACAAAAATACATAAAAATAAACTATTATAAAATTAAAAAAATAATAATAACCACATCTTTGTTTACTGTCAGCCTGCTGTTAGCATTTGTGCCACAACATATGACCCAAAATCAAGAAAACATATCTGTTGGGAACTGGGTTTTGAGTAGCATAATCTCTCCATTTACAAATGAGTTAGGGAGGATATAGGGGAGGAGGGAGAGGAGTTATAAGGGGCAACATAAGGAGCCTCGAGATGTGGGAACCCTTTGATAGCTTGACTGCAACGGCGTATACAGGTGATAAAACTGCATACAAATTAATACACATAAATAAAAGTGAGTACAAATACGGCTGCAGAAGTCTGAGGAAGACTGACGTCCCGTAGCACTGTCGACCCCTAGCTGTAACCTTGCACCATGCTCCACGCTTTAAGGTAGCACGAGTGGCCACAACAGACATGTTTTGAGTCCTAGAGTTCACTCAATTCATCTCACCTGGATTTTCCCACAAATCACTAAAGTTTAAAGACATGTCATCCTTAACAGCAAAATAACATTGATTTGTCCTGATAGTCTTTTTTCAAAGAACTGGGCATTTCAATTATTCCTATCATTTGATGGGTGACAATTCTGGTACAGAAAAAAATCAGTAAGTTGGTAGTTTTCTTGCATCTCCTTTTAGTGCTAAGGAGGTCCTTAGCACTAAACAAATCACTAAAACTTAAAATGATCAGAGAAGGCAGAAACTTACCAAACCAGGAATCTACATTTTGGGTATCTTCCTCATCATTCAAAGATGTAAAGTTGATGAAGTCCGTGGGAGCATCATAGGAATAAGAGGTTTTAACTTGTGACATTGTGCCCCACCTTGGCACAGCAAAGCATATATTTTCCCAGTATTTCTGTCACTTTTCTCAACAGGTCACCTTCTTCTAAAGAACAGGTCTTCTAAAGAAAGAAATGATTCAGAAAGTCAGTTACACAAAAATCTTAAGATAGCAATTTTATTGCCTTGTACCACTTTTGCAATTCTGAAAATCACCCAGATAATATGCCTTATTTTCAAATCAAACTTTTCTTTTTAGTAATTTAAAGACATCTCTTGAGTTAGAACTAGAATGAGGCAGTCTGATGAGTGCCTGCAATACATCATGCACTGTGCATTATTTTATTTTTCCTCAATCTGTTTTCTCATTTCCTACCTTGCCCACTTCCAGTTTACTTTCTTTCCCTGACTAATCCAATTTCTGAAACACATCATTAACTTTTATACCTATCAACCAAAATCTTATTCATCATTCAAAACCCTATGAACTCTACTCCAATTTCTAATTACCATACATAATTGTTGCTTCTTCAAAGTGGCACAACTTTACCATCCAGTTTTAAATTAGTTATTATGCAAATACTTCTAGTAGACATAAGCTCCTATAGACAAGGATAGATTTTCTTCCCTTAAAAAATCTTCTTAGGGTCCTCCCTGGTGGCACAGCAGGTTAAAGCACAGCACAAAGAAGCTTAAGCCACTTTCGCATGAGTTCGATCCCCGCCTGCCCCCGAGGAGATCCACATGGCAGACCTCTCCTGACCCGCCCGCTGCTCCCCTCAGCAGTGTATTTCGTGGATCTGCCTGTTGTGCACCCCACTCTGTCTGGTGAATCCTCTCACCCTCCGCATCTCTGGCCTGTACCCCAGTTCTGTACGAATAAATAAATCTTTAAAAATAAATATATATATATATATTCTTAAAATTACTGTTTCTGGGCATGAAGGAAATGACTTTGTAAAACCCATAAAAAACATAACATGCAGATTAGCTAAAAGAACCAGTCAAAGGCAGAAGGCTGTCCCTATCCCTGTGTACAAAATTCTGCACTGGTCCTGTGGAAACCTGTGTAGGTTTAAAGTCAGCGCCCCCTCCAGGCAGGTATGGTTAATAAAACAGCTGGAAATGAATGAAAATTCATGCCATATTCACTGGCATCTCCATTTCCCCAAGAAAGCCAATGAGCCAGTTATCTTCATTCAGGGAATAACATGTACTTACAAATATTATCTCTTGGAAGAGAAGTAATCACACAAGTCCTTAGTTAAATTTAGATCACAAAGTTTTTATTAAAATGTATATACTTCACACTAGTCCAGACTTCTCTCTCATACATATGCATGTGTGTACATGTACCCTCCCTCATTTTTTTTTTAAAGATTTATTTATTTATTCATATAGAACTGGGGTACAGGGCCAGAGATGTGGAGGGTGAGAGGATTCACCAGAGACAGAGTGGGGAGCAGAACAGGCAGATCGATGAAGTACACTGCTGAGGGGAGCAGCGGGCGGGTCAGGAGAGGTCTGCCTCTCCATGTGGATCTCCTCCGGGGCAGGCGGGAATCGAACTCATGAGGAAGTGGCTTTTAGATTCTCAGTGCGGTGCTTTAACCCGCTGTGCCACCAGGGAGGGCCATCCCTCCCTCATTTTTTAATGAAATAAACTTTTTAATATTCCACATATTTTGAGCATTTCCATGTCAATAAATGGACATAATAATCAATTAATGGCTGTACTACAATTTACCAATCCCCTACTTTTAGGTTTTTCCCAATATGTTTTTTTTTAAGATTTATTTATTTATTCATACAGAACTGGGGTACAGGCCAGAGATGCGGAGGGTGAGAGGATTTACCAGAGACAGAGTGGGGAGCAGCACAGGCAGATCGACAAAAGTACATTGCTGAGGGAAGCAGCGGGTCAGGAGAGGTCTGCCACGCCATGTGGATCTCCTCGGGGGCAGGCAGGGATCGAACTCATGCGGAAGTGGCTTAAGCTTCTTAGTGCTGTGCTTTACCCTGCTGCACGACCAGGGAGGGCCTGGTTTTTCCCAATATGTTTTAAAGATACTACCAAAATAATATCCTTTGTGATTTTCTATATACACACATATAAGTCTTCACTTAAGATAAGTTTTTAAAGACGAAACTGCTGGTTTTGATATTGTGAAAATGTTTCTCAAAAGAGTAGCACCCATTTGCATAGCCAAAAAGATGTCCCAGTTCTTCACTCTCACCAATCTTAAATACTAAAAGGTCTTTGTGTTTATTTCCTTTACACTACCCCAGTAAAGCTTTACTCTTAGATAAATCATGAGCTTGCACCGGACTTCACCGCTGATCACTGGCTTGACCAGTGGACTGGGATAATTCAGAAGATATTTTAGTACCTCAGAAACATTTGTTCTGACAAATATTTGGTTTACAAATATTTGTAAAGACATTAATCTTTACACCAGAGAACTTTATCTTCCCATGTTTTCTCCCACTAACTCACTGCAGCCCAACTCCAGATAGAAACATGACATTTCAGAATTCGGAGGGATCTTAAGATAACAACTAAGTTTTGCAGTTTATAGATAAGGATTAATTAAAGTAAAAAGGGGTCTTCCAACATTACACAGCTATCTACTATACACACTATAGCTATACTAATGATCTTAACAAGGTACTTACACATGCAGGAAACTATGAAATACTAAATACCTACTATTTCTTCTTAAGATTTATTTATTTATGCATACAAGAGGATGCACCAGACACAGAGCGGGGAGCAAAACAGGCAGACTGACTAAATTACACTACTGGTAGGAACAGCAGGCAGGTCAGGAGAGGTCTGCTGTACCATGTGGATCAGCTTCCTGGTTAGGAATCGAACTCATGCTGCAGTGGATGCCCATAGCTTCATAGTGCTGAGCTTTAACCCACTGGTTGCGCCACCAGGGAGTGCCCAAAATACATACTATTTCTAATTCTCTCAAAACCCTGTATAGCAGCAATTATCCCCCTCCTAGAAGAAGCTGAGAGTAAGAGTAATTAAATCACTGGGTTCAATAATAGTTACGTGAAAGCAGAGCTGGCTGTAGAGCTAAGGTCCCTTACGTCAGTACAATGTTCTCTCTACATTATTCTGTCCTCTCACCCTGTGAATGAGGAAAGTATGTTAATGTAGTTAAGGTCTCTATTTGCAGAGAAAATAGTATATTCTTCATAGTCTTGTACTCTAAATAGAAGAGTATTATCCTCACTCTAAATTTTCCACTGTCCTCCATTTCTATTTTTATTATTCAACTTAACTCAATAAGCTACCTGTTAATGGCCCACTGATACTATATAGCTGCTAGGTCCCTAAGATGTGGACTTAATGATATCATCATTCCTTTCCCACTAATAGTCAAAACTTCTGTCTTCATACAAACAAGCAGAAGAAATAGTCTTTGACACAAAGAAACTTAAAATTTAGATAGGAACTAAGGTCCTGTGATATTCAATAAAAGATATACAATATCTAAATTACGTATTATAAACATATTAAAAGAATTTGAGATTAATATGGCTTAAGTTGATTAAATATTTTTACTTAACACACCTTTAAGGTGTGGAGCATCCACAGCCAGTAGGAATCTGCTTAGAGGTTCACCGGGAAACTCTCACTGACCGTGTCCCTGCCCTTCACCATCTTCTTGCCTTGAATAATGCAGATGTAATAACGGGTAAGTGCTACAGGAACCATGAATGGACAAGCAAGAGAGTAACAGTGGCCCTTACATCACCGATCTCCGATGATCAAAAATCAGCCAAACTGCTTTATGAGAGAATGATAATACTCATTTTGCATAAACCATCATAGTCATATTTTTTTGTCACTTAAAGCCAAAATCAATGCCAACAAAAACAGATGTCCAGAATCCCAGTCCTGTTACTGCCATTTACTAGATGTATATGACAGTAGGCAAGTCACCCTTTCTGCCTTCCTGCTTCCCATAAACAAATAAGGGATTTTAAGTGCTGGTGAAATATATTACCATAAGGTATTACCCCTGCCTTTTAATCTACTGATGCCAGCTTCTCCTTGATCACAGTTCTAGTCAAAGCGCCCTTAATGAAAGATTCCCCAGTGACCAACAGTGGTTAAAACTCCACTGCTGCAAGGAAGGAGTTTTCCTGTTCTTGTGAACAAACACGCTGGAAGACATGGGAAAATCTTGGATTCCCATGATCTTAATGCCTAACCCAGGTCACTGGGAACACTTCCCAGGCAGGAATGTAGTAAAGACAAATAAAGCTGGGGGAGGGAGGAGGTGAGAGAATGTCACATGCAGCAAGCCCACTTGCCTAAAAGCCATGACTGCACTAAAGCAGGCTGCTGAAAACCACCTGGAGAGTTCAAATTTAACCCTTCAGGCCCTTTCTTCTCTTTTAAATTATGAAGCTACACTGCTGACCTCTTTGGAAGGCCATCTGCACTTTTCCTTTTGCTCATCTTTCCAAGTATAGAAATTTATCTTACAAATATGTATTTATGCAATGTAAATGTAAGAAAATTCACTATAGCCTTGCTCGTAAAAGCCATTCCCCCTAAATCTGTGTATAGTCCAGAAGCCATTGAGTTTTCCAGAATTAAACATTCTTAAAAATACAGCAGTAATTATTAAGCCTCTTGAATTTTTAATATAATGCTTTCCATTTACATGATCTATAAATTGGCCACTTTTTTTATTCAAATGTCACATGTCCTAGTTTTTTAACGTTTCTATATAAAAACATTGTCCCTGTTGATTAATAAAATGTAAATAAACTTGAAAAATAACAAGTTACTAATTACTGAGCACTTATGATATGTCAGATACTGTTGGCAGCGGTTTCCAATTATTAACTCACTAAAGTCTCACAATAATCCTATGAAGTAGCTGTTATTATCATCTTCATTTTGCAGAGAGACTTGCAATTTGTTCATGGTCACTTAGCTAAGAAGTAGCAGAGCCAGGCCCCTCCCTAGTAGCCCCAGGGGTTAACATGCAGTACTCTGAAGCTCTCAGAAGCCACAGC